ACGATGCTCGAGAAGGCGTTTCCTATTGTGATTGCCCATTGCTGATCGCCTCCAAGGAAGCTTTTTCTTTGTCGTATTTGTGTGAGGGGTCTGAAACGGTGCCTTGTGTGTTGAAGGTGATTCTCTCATTTTGCGCACATTTGCTGCCATGCGTCGCTGGACATTTTGTTGATTCGACTTTCGAAGGTGAAGCGCTGGTATTTGCGTAGATTTTACTGCCCCCTGTCCATATATTTACATGGGTATACACTGATTACATGAATATGCACGTATGTGGATGATACAATGAAAAGTCCATAACAGTCAAAAGTCCATTTGTCTCCTCTTCCCAAACCCATCCAAGCGTTTCAGATTCTCACGCCCTTCCTCATCTTCTAATCCAAAAATCGGTCTTCCTCTAGCCCTAGCTTGATCCGTTTAGCAGACGTTTCTTCCATCTGATTATATTTTATCCGCTGCCTCAAATTGGACATTCGTCTCAACGTCCTCCGAGCAAAGTGCTCTTTGAATCCCTTCGCTCCGTCTCGTCGAGGTCGGAAGAGCGTATCTAGCGTCGTATTTCTCGTGGTAGAGACGATGAGCGAGAAGGAATTGTCGCCATAGACTCGGTTGGAGAGGAGAGCGGAGATGCCCAGGATGTTGACGAGGAGCGTGGCTGCTATACTCCCTCCGTAGGACCCGAGGAGGGTCGCTTTGTTGTATTGGAACACGTTGAATGTGCCGATGTTTTGAGCTGAAGTCGTGCTGTTCGCTAACCACAGCGATAGCAAACTTGTCCTTTCAGAGAATCAGAGAAATGTTATCAGAAGGCGAATGCGACGTACGAGATGTTGAATCCTACGTCATCTAAACCTTTTGAGACGACTTCGGGAGTTGCCCATGGTTGCGCTCGAAATCCGAGCCTGGCTGGGAGAAAGTCGATGAAGTTGCTAGCTGTCACTCTGCAAAGAATCTCAGATATCATTAATTAGGAACAGAGAACCTCCGTTACGTGGTGCTGCTGTTAATATGTCCACTGCCTGACCCTGCTCTGTATACGTATCCCTGGACTAGATCGATGATGCTATCGAAAACGGCAAGATAGCCCAAGGTTCCGAGTTTCACTTCTGGATCGAAAAGATAGGGCGTGTATTCGGCCTGCAGTCGAGTGACGGTGTGACTTCCGCCTTCGTGGTGAATGAGGCTCCTGTACTTCGCAATTTGTGGAGTGCATACAAGGGAATAGGATGGATTGTCGGCTGTGGGATCTCCAGCGTCCGCGATCCAGGCAACCAACAAGCTTCTAGTCGTCATTCCGTTGGTGACGGTATCTGTAGCGTTGCTGAAATACGTGATTCCGTATGCATATCCTACCACATCCGTTGGAAGGTTTATTATAATG